GAAGACGACGTCTGGGCAACGGCGCACTTTACCTTTTGGTCTGACTGAAATGTTTTTCAGCCGGTTATCACCAGCGCCAGCGATAGTTCCGAAGGACACCCGCGAGACAAACGTTTAGCACTTCATCCGGTTATCAACATGCATGGTCGTCAATTAGTAAGGAACCGATCAGTAGATCAGTTGTGATTCGACTGATAGAATTACCACGGCTTACCAAGAGCATCCCTGGCCTACCGGGGCCTTACCGAGAGCGAGTTATGGCTGAATGTTCTTCGTGGAAGGGTAGAGGAACACCAGTCGTTCAATAAAGGATTCAAGCACTCACCAGTAAAGCTGACAGGAAGATTAGGGTGATAGCTGACATTGAAGGCTGTTGAGGTTTTCGGCGTCGAATTCCGAAATCAGCTCGAAGAGCAGTCGCCACGACCTTTATAGTGGGCCAGGCCGTGGGGGGATCCGATGAAAAGTGGCGGACAGAGTACAAGTTGAGAACAACCCAACTTAATCATAAATCATGATAGAGTGAGGTGTACGAGGAGTGGCACATAGAAAAACAGACATTTGGTAAAGAAAGTGTCCAACCTCCCTCGACGAGACTATCTCGAGATGACACGACACACACACACGAGGGCGGCGGAAATCAGAAGTCACCTTTGTGCTCCTAAAGTACAATGAGGAAAGGTTAATGCAGTCTCGACGCTCTAATGACCTTCGTCAAATGGACTTCGCTACAATAGAGGAGGATATACGCCCTCAAAATTACCCCAACATAGGCTTTCCGGGTCACTACTTTCGTAGAGAAAATGCTCGAAACCCCGAACTTCTACAGAGCTTTGAAACCTAAGCCCTTTACAAAATCACTCATGAAAGACGGGGGAAATATTGAAGAGAAGAAATTGAGCAGCAGACTGGCCTGAGACTTGGCTCTTGACTGATGTTCTTACTACTTTAATCACGTGTTTATGAATTCGTCATCAGCCGTCGTCATCCACCGAATAAGCCTGTTTGACTGCGACTAGCGGAAAAACATCATGGAGTTTCATCCGTCATGTTGCAGTACACACCAACTACTAAGGTAGTCGTCTCCTAAACAAACACTGTCTCGTTTTTTGACAGCTTTAACATTTTTATATCTTTATTATATAAGTTACTTACTTGACTAGATGCTCTCCAGTCGATAGGTGAGCCGATGTGTCGTTCTTGTGGTCTGTCGGCACGAAAAATGCGCCACCATAATAGTGGGCGTGATACTGGTGTTGACAGAAAAACCTATCCCTAGCCAAATAACGCAGAAGAGCCGACAGCTGATCTCGTACAATTGCGATGGCACTACTATGTCTATGGCTAGACTCTCAAGGCATAGCTCTATCAATAAGTCACTAACTATGAGTGGTCGATCTTTATGTAGGTCCACCCTAAATTTTTGCTATCCCAAAGTTGCTGTGCATTTTTTGAAAATGCTGCTATCACCGTTAGATTCCTCATCACGGAAAACCTTCGTAGTGTTTTTCTGATAAAGTTCCCCCTTCAAGTAACCCAATTAACTTTTTCAGAACGAATTTTCACCGTTTCATGGAAATCGGGTCACTCCATGTATTGAACAAGTTTGCCATTTCGTGGCTCGGGATCTGTAAGGGATCAGGGAAGCGGGGGAAATATGTGGGCTCAGTCGACATCGAGTTTACCATACCTCGTGTTATTCGCCTCTCTTCCCAGTAACAAGCTCAAGCTAGAGCACTTACTGAAGTGGGATAGCTGAGGAGCAGAATTTCCTCCCATGTCGGCCGGCTCATACTGCATAAGCGACTATGTGCAAAATCCTGGTCAGTGCGGAGAGAAGAGTCGCTTAGGTAAATAAAGACTGCGTTTCCTTCAAAATTTAGGAGGAATTGGGTGTCTTCTCTCGAATTATACAAGGAGAGTCCGAACAAAGTCCGTACTGAAATGCGGCCTTCCGTGAGCAAAACCACCGTGTGGTGAGTAAGCCAGCAGAGCAATAACATCTTCAACGGATTGATGAAGAGCGTTCCAAGATTATTTGAGCGCTACAAGATCGCAAGTCTCCATTTCTCCGTGGAAAAGGGCTCAACTTAATGAGCGATGGTGTGGCTGTTAAGACCCTTCGCGATCTTGGACTCTACCTCCTTGTTTCGTTCTACAGGTGGTCTGAGATCGACGTGGAAAAGTTTATTCTAGGTGGATATGGCAGAAAAAGAGGGTACAGGATGATCGCGTGAAAATCGCAGATGGTTTCAATGTAACGTAATTTCGGCGGTGAATCCCTTATGGTTTGAGGCACCTTTGAACGACTGAGTAGCTAGAGCTCGCTTTTGTTTCCGTTCACAAAGATTCCACAGGGTATCGTGAAGTTCTTTCGAAGCGAGTCTTACCATTTTTTCAACAAGGATCCCCTCTATCCTTGATTTTCACGCACAAATAACGCGGCTGTCCATGCCGATCCCTCCGCGCAGATGGAATTGCAGGAAAAAAATGTGGCAGTTATCTGGTGGCCACCATGTTATCTGAATTAGATTCCAATAGAGAATCATTGGGCCTCAATTGTTATAAAGTTCCACAGCAAAGTAAAGCAAAATGGAACAGCCGAAAAGCTGAAAAGGTCGATCATCGGCGCCCAGACGAATTTCGATCCTACTGTAATAGCTAATTTGGCTACCAGCATTTCAAAACGTATTATTGTGTTCCTTATGATTATTGGGGGGTCATCCCATTATTGAAAATTCGTGACGTTTTTTCGTTATAGTAAAATCTCTCGACAAGTGATGTGTAGTCATATTTGCGAAACGGTGAAAATACGTTCTAAGGAAGATATTTTAATAATTCTGAATCGAGATTTCTCCAGAAATCAAGTATCAAGGTTTTTCGTTATGGGGAAACTATTGTAAATAGCCGTCGTCCGGTCGTCGTCTGTCGCAGCGCATTTTCTCAAAACTGCACCAGCAACTTGAGATTAGCAAAAAATAGGGTGACCTATTATTTATGAAACGCATTGTATAATTGTCCGATCTTTGTGTATGTCGCACCCAATGCCCTCAATAACGAGATATGCACGGGAGGAGCCACTATTAGCAGATTTAGGAAAAATTGGGCGCGTTGCGGTGTCAAATAATGAGTTATTGCAATTGCGAGGACTTCCCAATTGCTATAAAGCCATCTACTGAGTACCCTGTCACCCATGCTGCAAGGGAGTGCGTTGCAGTTCGCCTACTCAAGGTCCTAGGCCACATTGAGAGCACCACTCATGTTACGTCATACCGTCTCAGGATAGAAAGCCTGGACCTAGATCATAGGCTTTAGCATAGGCAATGCGCAAAGATGGGCTAAATCTCAAGGCCGATCACCTAAGCCTTAAACCTTAAGATTTCCGATGTTCACTGTTGCCGTGGGAGCAATCTGGTGACCTGACACTCTGGGGAAGAACTGAACGTCCCCCTTCAAGGTGTTGATTGCCTGCAGAGGTGAAGCACTACCAAAGGAACGTTGATGCTATAGCTGTGGCCCCAGGACCCTCCTCACTCACTCGGTACAGT